GTTGTCACCAACACATCACTAAAGAGTTGACACACCTAAAACAAAGCATGACCTATGGGAGACTCATCCAACACTTGGGTAAATGTTTAGAACAGTGGCACCTTCATACATTCTGCAAATTGATGACACATAGCACAGTATAGGTAGTGTGGATATGGTGAAGACAGCAAGGCTCAGAAGTGCACTGTTCTCTTTATACAAAAGGCACATAACCCTAAAAGAAATGACTGCATTCAAAGTAAACCTACCATAACAGAACCATGGAAGCTACCACTGCAGCCTATTCCTTCTAAAAATTCAAGGTGCCGAGGTACCCTCCGTGGTGAATGGGATCGGATTGACAGTGTAGAATGTATGACTGCATGGGAGTCTGAATCCTTCAATCTCGTATGGACAGTATGGACTTATTTCCGCTATTCCTCTGAGTCTGACACCTTCCTTGCAGTTAAGGTTTGAGGTTTCCAAGAGCCTCCCATGGGTAGTACCTGACCTCTCATTCCTCCCCCCCCCCCCCCCCCCCTTTTTTTTTTCCTCTCCACATTTTTCACATTCCCAATACCCTTTCTTTTAAGTATTCTGTGACAGTTGGTTGCATTACCTACCTAATCTGATGCTACTGCCAACATTTCCTGGGTCCTCTATCTACTGCGTACATGGAATTTTCCAGTGGTTTCTTTCCTGTACTTGATATTACACATTTTACCGATGTATCTGATAGTCTTGACAGCTATGACATGTAGATGGAGCGTATTTCTACTTGTGGTTACATTTGTACTCTGATCATTGTGCTTATGTGACCTATTTGGACTGATAAATATCATTGGAACTGATGACATATGTTTTTTTTCTACTTGATCTGTATTGTTTGAAGATTCTTAATAAAAATGATAAATTCTAGCTGCTTGGCTGTCATACTGATACATTGGCTTTAATGCTTTTAGAGCCAATAACCCTAAACAAGTAGAAAGAAAACACTTTTTTTTAGCATGCTTGTTCAAGGTCTAGGACCAAAAAGTATCACAACAGCCACAAAAGCATTTTTAGAGATTGCTTCTGTACTTCTTCAAAGGATCAGTTCACCTTTAGCAACGTTACATGTTACACCCATATTTAAGGGCTCAGTACGGGATTGTCAGCTTGTAGTTCTCAATTAACTACGACGGTGCTGTGAGTGCTCTAGAAGTTCATTGATCTTCCTGAAATTCAGAACCTGCCTGCCCATATTGGGGGTACAGGCAAACAGCTCTACTGACAGTCTGCAGTAGCCTGGGATTGCACCCGTGATCTGCCGATTGTGGGCGCAATGCTTTACAGGCACCTGTGAAAAAAAAAATAAATAAATGCACGTAAAAAAAAAAAAATAAAAATTTTAAATGTGCATTTATTTTTAAAGGTGAACTAATCCTTTAAGGACTCCATTTCTCATTTACTATAGAGGTAAGACAGGGCTGAACAAAACTCAAAAAGAACCAAACATTACAGCTGTGGGATTTACTAATATTGTGCATGTCACAGTGGGAAGACCCCTTTTTGTAGATACTGGGAGCCCCAGTGAGAGATTTACTAAAACTGGTGCGCTCAGAATCTGGTGCAGCTGTGCATGATAACCAATCAGCTTCTAACTTCAGCTTGGTCAATTAAGCTTTGGCAATAAAACCTGGAAGCGGATTGGTTTCTATCCAGAGTTGCACTCTCCAGTTTTAGCAAATAACCCCCACGAGTCCCATGTCTATACATACACATTCTAAAGATGGCCATACACTAGCAGATTTTCTTATAAACATTTGTAAGAAAAGTCTCAGTACATATAATGACATGATGAATTAGGTACAAAAGTAAGTAAAAAAAAAAAAAAAAAAAAAAAAAATGCTTTTAACATTCAATGTTGAAGTGAATGAACTTTCCCAAATGAAAACCATATTCACTTTTAGAAATATGATGGTTTGAGAAAACAAAATTCCATTCTCCTTTGATTTTTCTCATCGCTGCGGTTGAAGATGAACATCGGTTTGGCCCCACTAACAATTCAAAAATAAAACACTGTTCCTAAAATAAAAATTTTCAAAGTTCTATCAGTGTATGGCCACCTTAAGATTGCAAATACAAGTCATCAGCTGACAGTAAGCTGTAGCTGTTAGCAGAAAAGCCAAAGTAAGCAGACCCTGGTGCTTTAAGCACTCTGCCTTGCATCTTACAAGCCCTTATTAGAGGTCCTACAAGTTGTCTAAAATTACAATGGATGGCTTTTTTTTTAGTAGTTCAGGGGAAGCATGCGCTCCTCTCCTCCAATATTCCAGCTGGCTACTACATCATAGTGACTGGCTCCTAACTTCACATTAATACATACAGCCCTGCAGTAACCCTAATAAAATATTAATATGTATGCTTTTCCTTACCTCCAACATAATAGATTCTTCAGCTTTCCCTTCATTGGAAACACCGGTGTCTATCCTCTTCAAAGCCCCAAACGTATATTAAAAAAGCAGTCTTTGTTGGCTTATTATTTGTGGGCGCCACCTTCTTACTAACAGCCTCAGTTAACTGGCCTATTTATATTCCTGCGGACTTCTCTCACTAACAGCAACAGATCTGCTGGCAAGTGCTAATCCTTCTCAATGAGTGCTCAGGTTATTAAGAGGCTTTATCGTGCCTGCTACGCAGCCATCAACTTTTCTCATGAGCAGAATTCACTCATGCAAAGTTGATGAGCGTTCTTATTGACGTCTTGGATTGAAGGGGGCCTATACAACAATAAGCTATAAAATGCCTGAGTAACACTTTAAAAAGTGTGTTCATTTTTATTGCAACTGAATGAAACTAAATGAATAAAACAAGCAGTCTGCTCTTATGTGTAAAGGCACCGATGAGCCAGGTAGGAGTTCCAATTTAGTGGTAAAAGAGATTCTTTATAAAACAAGAGCACATTTATGATGGAAATTAATCTGATAACCGAATGATTTTACAACCCTGCATTAGAAAGATGACAAAATATCAGCTTTGGATTGGTATGGGTTGCACCCTTGCTGTACTGTGTATTGGTGCAAAGTGCCATACCTTACCGCCTGCAAACTGGTAAAATGCAAAGACAGCTACCGACCTCAGCTTGGTATTAGAAAAAGACCTCCCAATGTCAGTACTGGATTAATAAGCATGTTAAGAACAGGGACACCAATGTCTCCATTGACTGGCGTATAGATTAAAGATCAAGTCAAGTTCGCCAATTTTTTTTCTACCCAAACCCCTCCATATATTCAGCTGTGACTGTATTTACTGCCTCCAATACTTGCAGCAACTGCACTCTCTGCAGCCCGGCCAGTAAACATCTAGTTTTGGGCTGCCCCACACGTAGATACCAACATCCCACAGACTTGAACTGAACATATCCATAATGTAGGAGCAACGTCCGAGTCAACGTTATGGCACATTAGCGCTCAAGTGTGGGCAGGCCAATAATAGATTGTCACCAACCCAGCTGTAGGCAGTAAACGGAGGCCGCAGCTATTGTAGCCAACTACAAGCCTGGTAGGGTGGAGTGGATGAATGTATTAAGGAGGCTGGGGGGAGGGAGGGGGGTAGTCTGGAAGGACAGATAGGATCATCTTGTCAGGCTCCAGCAGACTTTGACAAAATGGCACCCATCTGTACACAGACACCAACTCCCTGTTGCATGAATGTGAAGTGCAGCCTCTATGATTAATCCCCGCAAAGGGTGAAACACATCTAAGGAGTTCTCTACAAGTGTACAGGAGCTAAAGCCATCTTTTACTCATTTCATTCACTTTCACGCAACAGCAAATCGGTGCCTGGGGCCCCAGTGCAAGACTAATTTTTGGGCCCTCCATTTAACTAATGGCCAAGTAAAAAACACAATTTACGGTCTGTTGGCAGGTTTGCTAGAAGTGAGCTGTGCCCAAATCTATGATACAGTTGGAGAGGTCCAATCACCCATCTGACCCAGAAATAATATAAATGGGTTTATAAGACCCAAAAGGTCCTTGTGCCGCTACACAGTCTATACAAACAGTATGGTCACCCCTGAAAAGTAGCACAGGTAAGGCCATTTAACATTCCTAATATCCACCTGTTCCACCCAGCTATTAAATGCCCAGCCTAAACTTACATCATGGGAAAAATACTTATTACTTACATTAATATACATATTTCACTTACTTTTTATGATATTTAAGATACAACTAGACTGCTTTAGGGCATACTCATATTAAGGGATCTGTACTGTGCCCAAGTATGTTTGGTTCCCAAAGTCCATTTCATTTGACTAGCATGACCATTCTGTGCTGTGCAAAGACAATGGTTCAGCGTACTGTGCCCTAACCCATTTGAAGAAGTGGACGGGGCGCATCTGTGTGAGGCAGAGATAATGACACCAACACGTGAGTGAAGGCCAGAAGGGGAGAGGGCACAGTCCTGCTCGGGCATGGTACAAGGGTACCATGTCAGTGTGAGTAGGACCGTACACATAGGAATGGTTGCAAGCCAATCGGTGCATCTCAGGGTCATGCGATTACTGTGACTGCCAATTAAAGTGGACTCCATAAAAAATGTTTTGATAAGTAAAGTTTTCTCTGTATCCAGTCCTCCTCTTCCTCCTGTCTGGTCAGATTTATGTAAGAAAAGAAAATGTTCATTTATCTTTTACTGGAAAAGAAAGAAACTGTGTGACTTGTTATGTAACATATTTATGGGTAGGACAAACAAAAATGTATTTTATTATATTTTTAGTCATAACTAAAAAGCTTGTGTATAACTGTAAAAAAATAAATAAATAAAACCCAGTTACTGGGGGAAAAAAAAAAAACCACTATCTATACTATATTGCCAAAAGTATTGGGACGCCTGCCTTTACACACACATGAACTTTAATGGCATCCCAGTTTTAGTCCGTAGGGTTCAATATTGAGTTGGCCCACCCTTTGCAGTTATAACAGCTTCAGCTCTTCTGGGAAGGCTGTCCACAAGGTTTAGGAGGGTGTCTATGGGAGTGAAGCGCTCTATGCACTGTTGTTGTGCTAATCTGAAGGCCACGCAAAGTTTGGAGGTTTTTTTAGCTATTGACTCTGCAGACAGTTAGCAACTTCTGCACACTGTGCACTTCAGCATGCGCTGACCCCGCTCTGTCATTTTATGTGGCCTACCACTTCGTGGCTGAGTTGCTATTGTTCCCAGTTGCTTCCACTTTGTTATAATACCACTTACAGTTGACCGTGGAAAATTTAGTAGCCAGGAAATTTCATGAATGGACTTATTGCACAGGTGGCAACCTATCATGGTACCACGAGTGAATTCACTGAGCTCCTGAGAGCGACCCATTCTTTCACAGATGTTTTGTAGAAGCAGTCTGCATGCCTAGGTGCTTGATTTCATACACCTGTGGCCATGGAGGTGATTGGAACACCTGAATCCAATGATTTGGAGGGCTGGCCCAATACTGTAAAGGGGGGGGGGGGGTCAACTTGTATATGCAGTAGTTACAGAGGCTCTAGAGGCAGGATTTTTTTTACCTCAATGCGTTCCCTGCATTGCAGCAACAAACCCCGTCATAGGAAATCCATCCGGGACGACAAAAGTCACGCTCGGACATCAATTTGCTATAGGCCCAGCGGGACTTTCGTTGTTCCGGATGGACGTCATATGACGTCGTTCCGGAATGGGCCATGCTGCAGGCAAAATTGTCACCAGACACAGCTGATGACTGATCAGTGTACTGGACCTGGTGCCGGTACCATGTGGTTGCTGTTACCAATCAGAGCAGATCACATGACAATTGTAAACAATGAATGGCTTTGATTCATGCCCTTCATTGTTACAATTGTGTTAGCTGTGATTGGTCACAGTGATCATATGGTGCAGACAGGGCCAATACCAGTTCCTCTGTACCATGTGATTAGCTGCGGCTAATCACAACTAAATTAATCGATTAAATTCCATAAAAATGCTCGCTTATAGCAGTGAAGCAATCATAATGTGTAAAAAAAAAAAAAAAAAAAACACCTGATCACTTCCCTAAAGTAGTACTATGGTAACATTATATTGCTCTGGTCACAGTGTATTACAAAAACAAAATGTAATAAAATGATGTAATGAATGTGAAAAAAAGAGAAAAACAATTGACAAAAATTACACTTCAAAAAACTTGCCATGCCTCTTACTAAATACCATGGATTGTCCAATTTCGAATATATATCATAGTATGTACACTCTATAACTTTCCTACACACTAAATAAAATACACTGATTTGGGTATTTTCAAAGAAATGTAGCAGAATACAGGTTGGCCTAAATTTATGAAAAAATTATTTATTTGCAAAATTGTATAAACCGAAAACGAAGAAAAGCACGTTTTTGTCTTTTTTCATTTAATTTAGCAAAAAATAAAAAAAAAAACCAGTGGTGATTAAATACCACCAAAAGAAAGCTCTAATTGTGTGGAAAAAAATTATAATTTAGTTTGGGTACAGTGTTGCATGACCTCGCAATTGTCAAAGTGCGACACTGCTGAAAGCTGAAAATTGGCCCTTTGCAGGAAGGGGTTGAAAGTGTCTGGTATTGAGGTGGTTAGGGCCCCATTGACACTTGGTGAAATTGAATTCCAAATTACGGTAAAAATGCAGTAAAACGTGCAACACGCTTTTGGATGCCATTTATTCCTTGTGATACCTCAAACGTGATGCGATTTTGCCCTGATTATCTTGTGGGAAAGAAAAAAAAAAAAACAAACCACACCTTCAAAGAGGAGTGGGAGCTTGTTTTTAGCAAAAAGGCTCACACATTGCAGTCTATTCAAGTGAATGGGCTGCCCTATGCGCTACATGCAAAATCGTGTGAAAATTGTGCACACACAAAATCACGAGTGGGAACGCGAGCTCCTGATACTCCAGATGTGAACAGGACCTAAAGCAGATTTATGTCAAAATACACAATTATATATTCATTATCCATTACTCCAATTAATTTTAATGCTCTTGAAGTTTCTAAACTCACTTTGTGAAGATCTCCTTCTCCTCACCTCCTGTGACACGTAGTCACTATGCCCTGTAGTAGGCACTGCTGTGTCACACATTTCACAGAGCCTGCCATCTGAACTACAGAGGAGCTGAGAGGGAGGAGCTTCAGGAGGCGGAGTCAGTACAGGAATCACTGCATGCAGGCAGCAAGGTTTTCACCTTTTCCCATTTTAAGGACAAAAAAACAAAAAAACTTTTTTATGCAGTCCGAGTCCCTAGTATAAAACATTTTCATCCTTGCCTGTTCCAGCAGAGAAACCTACAGTATGTCAGTATATTTTTAACATGTGGGTTGTTTAAAAAAAACAAAAACATAAAAATGCATAGTGTTTTAACGTGTGATTAAATTTAGGGCTCAGTAACCCTGTTGCATTTCAACACGTGTTCCATGCTGCAGTATTGGAAAACACGTCAGGTCCATTTTGTTCTGTGTTTTAGTGCATTGGAAGGCCCATAAAACTAAATGGCAGCGCATCAAAAGGCATAGAACGTGTTTTTTATGTGTTCACAACAGGTATTACATTAATATGCATGTCAATCCACAAAGGAAATGCCCGTTGATGGATGACAAAGTACCTACCTAAAGGCTCATTCACACATACTGCAGTGATGTGCATTTTTCCCCACAGGGGATTAACGCAGGTTACCACTATGGCACATGCAAAACAACAGCTTTCTATGTGCCCTGTTCACACCACAACACTGGTGCGATGTGTAGCATAGTAAATAAAAATGCAGACATTCAGCGTTTTTCTGCAATGCATGGGTTGGCATTGTAGGTCAGCGCAGGGCACCTTCTGCTGTGCAGAGAACTGAATGGAGCGTACACTTCCTGCCTCAATTGAACAAATATAAGACACTGCTCAATACCAGCCACATGATGGAATGATTTGTTTTAGTGTGTGGCTGGGGTGAATTTACCCTGAGGGGCCTCATTCACACAGTCATTAAAAATCCTGTATATGGATGGAGTATCATTATGTACACAGCAATAAAGAAGCCCAATGGCCCATTCCCACAGCTGCATCTAGACTCATAAATATCAGCATTTCATATGCTGTATGCATGTAGACATTTATAGAACGTTAACATGTGTACAGCATTATTGCAGGCTATTGGCTGCCTGCATCCTAGCAACCATTGTTGTTTTTAACATGGCAACCGCCAATAAGGCCCATGTATGCTGCACCACTGTACATATGTAAAATGGTACACAAACATTACATGCATACAGCATGTGGATAGCTAAATAAGCAGGCTTTCCTATCAGTTTCCACCATCCTAGCAAGCATCATTACTATTGCCATGGCAACTACCGATAAAGCCCATGTATGATGCACCACCACCGTATGCATGTAAACAGTACAAAAACCTTACACGTGGACAGCTAAATATTCAGGCTTTTCATGCCAGTTTCTGCCACCTGCTTCCTAGCTAACATTGTATTAAGATGGCAACCACTGCTAAGGCTCATGTATCATCACTGTACAAATGTAAATGGTATACAAAACGTACAGACAGATAAATATGCAGGATCTTCCTGCCGGTTTCTGCCACCTGAACCCTAGTAACCATAGTTTTTCTTAACATGGCAACTGCCAATAGGGCCCATGTATACTGAACCCCTGTACGCATGTAAACAGTACATGCATATGGAGCACAGACACATAAACATGCAGGATCTTCCTGCCAGGTTCTGCATCCTAGCAACCATTGTTGTTAAAACATGGCAACCTCTGATAAGGCCCATGTATGATGCACCACTGTGCGCATGGAAATTATACAGAAATGTTACATGTGGACAGCTAAATACGTAGGATCCTCCTGCCATTTTCTGGCACCTAGTAACCATTGTTGTGAAGAATATGGCAACTGCCAATTAAGCCCATGTATGATATAAAACTGTACGCATGTAAATGGTACACAAACGTTACCCACATACAGACAGTTAAGGCCTAATGCAAAAAAAAAAAAAAAATTGCACCTGCATGCACACGCAGAGATCTAAATGGGCCCTATATGTTTCCAAAGTCAGAGAATGAAGACACATTTCATTGGTTGCTGTGAGCAATACTTCTGCTCGTCCTATCAACTGAACCATGAAAATAAACTGCACAATCATTTATAGGGATGACGTGTAGGCTAGGTTCAATGTGTGGTTAATGCGTTTCTTGATGCACGTCTTAGGGCTAGTTCACGCTAGATGCAGTTCAGTGCGCTTTTTTTCTGGCTCCAAAATGCATGCACAATGTTTTCCATGTATGCCAGTGGCCCTGGTTCACACCAGTGCAGTCAGTTCCAGTTCCCGGTGCAGTAAAAAAAAAAAAAAAAAGTAAATTTTTTCTGCACAGAACCATACTGGAACATAAACTGCATCAAAACTGCATCGAAAACTGTGTGTGGTGTGAAATGTAAGCAAAAAGGTATCCGGAATGCATCTGGTGTGCATTTTTTGTATTGTGAACTTGCCCTAAATGCTTCCTGCATTTTTTTGGTAGGAGGAGGAAATTGGTCATTAAACACATAGCCCTACAAAAACACCTCATAAAAGGCATGTACGTGTGTTTTTGATGGGGTTCCATTGACTATGCCAAAAATGCACCATTCTGCATCTAAAAAAAAAGTCCCCACACCTTTAAAAAAAAAAATAATAATAATAATAATAATGCATTGCAGGAAACTGCAAAGATGTGAACAGGACCCATAAAAGATAATATTAAATGGATTGTGTTCCTGTAGCTCTGCAAATGCACTAAAAAACCCCCAAAAAAACAAGAAAAACCCATACATGTGAGCCTAAAAAGCACTTATAAAAAATGTAATCCGTTAGTGGGTAGTACAGGTATCCCTCGCTTAATAACAGAGTTACATTCTGGTTGTTAAGCGAGTTTGGTCGTTAAACGAGAAATTGTATTTAGTATGTACATTACAGTATTCAGAACAAAGAAATCGACAAAAGGAAACTCCAACTTGATAACTTTGCTTTTATTTGCAAGTATGGTACCACCTGGGCTGAACATCAGAGAAACAGCAATGCCAAGGGTGGCTACGAATAGCAGGCAACACCATGCATACTGTACAGTACCTACTGAAGACATTACAGTAGTCACCGAGAAATCTGTGGAATTTGTGGAGTAGAAAAAGCCACTAAAGAAGCCACCATAGGGCAGAAACAAGCCACCATAGGCCAGACAAGAAGATCCACCATAGGCCGCACCGCCGCCGCACAAGAAGATCCACCATAGGCCGCACTGCCGCCGCACAAGAAGATCCACCATAGGCCGCACTGCCGCCGCACAAGAAGATCCACCATAGGCCGCACAAGAAGATCCACCATAGG